GAAGTCGTCATCAGTCGCTCATAAGGAATATCAGCCTAAATATATGAATATGTTCTATATACATATACTCGTACATACGAGTATAGTAGGTAGGTATCGGCTGAGAAAAAAGGCAACTTTTGTTGTCGTTTGGTGGTTCTGTGCGTTGTCGTCTTCGTCCGTTTTGGTGGTTGTGATTGTGTTTCGGTGGTGATGGTGGTGGTTGATTGATGTCTCGCATAGTTTCGTTCCGTTCGTTCTATGACCTGAGGCGAGGCGAGGTGAGGCGAGTGGAGGTGAAAGGACTTGGCATCGTTTACTAAACGGGGCCCACTTACAGGGTGTGTTAAATTAATTGCGCTCTAAAGAGGTGTGTAGATTAAACTATTAATGCATAATTTACCACTTCCATACGCAACCACTCGAGTGGGCGCTGTAGTGTTAATTATGCTGCTGCCTAAACATTTCAGATGATATTTGGTGATAGTTGTGGGCGTATCTCTAAAGAACGCTTTTAATCAGGGAAAGAAAAAATGGTACCATGAGGCATTAAGCGAAATAGATGGGATTTCTTTGAAGGTCTGAGAAATCAGCAGAATAGTTGAGAATGTGATCTTTAAAGATCCAAGAATTTAGAAAACTATATTTAATAAATGATGAGAAAGAACTTTCTGAGTGCGAAGCTAAAAATGTTGTATTTTTAATATATTATTGGAATTCTCATAGTGAGTTATTGTTTTCAGATATATTTTCGAGAAACTGTACAACAATTTGGAAAAGAAGTACCGGAATAAAAATTGGTATAGCTGGGTTATATTTTTCAAATTTGCATTCTCTGCACATTTCTGTAATAAAATGGTCGCCTTTTTTCAAAGGACTCGGAGATTCTATGAATTGTCTCTGCAGGCTGCCCATCTGGTCGATGCAAATGGGTTTGTGTATATGTATCTGGTACTAGTAGTTGGCCTGCTGTGCCAATTTAGCGGCAGCTACCTGTCCAAATGGGTTAACTGAGGCAGAAGAAGAGGTTGCAACTGGGACGGATGCAGGGGCTTTATACCTGTGTGTGTGGCGGCACTTCTCTTACAAATTTACAGTAAACCTTTTTATTTGTACTTTTTCACTTTTCTACACTCGAATGATGAATTACAAGGCAGAGCCGAAAAAATGTGTGGCATGTGAGAAACAACAACAGCAACAACGGCAACAACAACACGAACAACAGGAAAGCGTAGGTAGACATGCCAAGAAGTTGTAACGAAAATGCGTGTAAAACATTGTCGACTGACCTTTTCCTGAGACCGAGACGCGGCGACAAAATAGAACTAACAAAAAAGTGTATGCGGGCCGCTCTATTTCTGGATTCCCCCCTTGCTGCATAAATAGAAAGAAAAAACTCACTGCTTGACTGACTGACTGGGTGAGTGAGTGAGTGAGTGAGTAAGTGAGTGAATGACGAACTGCTGCGGTTGTCTGCCGCTTCGTCGAAGGGCCTGGCGAGCAGGCAGGCCATGAAGCCAGGCATTTGGCTTGCTTGGGAAATTTTCTTTCATGCTTGTCTGCGTGTTTGTTCTTTCTACGAAAATAGTTCAATGGAAAACTCCAAGAACATGAGCAGCAGCAGCAGCAACAACAACAATAGAGCATAGCAGTAGGTCGCCATCAACAGTCGATGGTTCGCGGGTTCGCCAGCAAAGCAGCAGAGCAGCAAAGAAACTGAAGAAGCGGACAACAAATTTGTAGTGAAATGTTTGGAAGCGGCGGAAAATGCTTTCTTTTCTTTCTTTCTTACTTATTTTTCCTATTTCGTTTTTTTTTTTTGTGGCCATGACTATGAGAAGCGGCAGAAGCTGAAGCTGCCACCTATGGTTGCCTTTTTGTCGCTGTTGCTGTTGTTGTTTTGTTTTTGCTCTCAAAAGGTGCGCGTCTGTTTTTGTGGCCGCTTTAATGTTTGTTTGTTGGCAACTGCCTGTGTGTGTGTGCGTATATGTGTATGTATGTGTGTGTGTGTGTGTGTGTGTGTGACAATTATGGGTCAGCCTCTCTGGTAGATGGTGCTGGAAAGAAATGCTGCTAGGCAGGATGGAAAGAGAGGCGCACAGCAAGCAATTAGGGCTAGATAAGATACACAGAAAGAGCTATCTTTAAAGTATTCATTAAAGCTTTTGCGCAGAGACCTCTTGAATGGTATTTAAAGCGATAATTGATGAATTTTTGGGCTTTCGTCGAAAAAGGATTTGAAGTAAAGTTGCTATGAGAGACATTTCTATCTATAACAAAATCCAGTATTTCAATATTATTTTACAAGTTTTGTGAGCTTCTAAATGCAATTTTAAGGAATAAATATTTAATTCTTGGATGTAGATAAGACCCCATGCGCTTTCTTATTATATATAATAAAATGTATCATATATTGATTTTATAATATATTAAATTCCTCTTATTATAAATTATGAGAATATTTGAAAAAATGCAATGGAATCTTTATTTAATTTTTGACGGCATTGCTGATAGGTTTGACGAAACAAATCTTTAACCTTCATGGACAGAACTTAAAACTGACAATTGTTAGGCGTATGGATGGTAGGATAAATCTTTATAGGAAAAATCACCAAATGTTTAATAATAAATAGTTTATGTTTCTTTTATCACTTTTATCACAGAGTTGTGTTAAAAAAATATCAACAGAAATTCGGAAAATTATTTGCATAACTAAAAATTTGTCAAATGGCCATTAAGTTGTATTTTTATTGAAAACACAAATCAAGCAAAGCACCCCATTAGCGTGTATAAAAAGCAAATTTGATGTTGTGTTGAAACATTTGTTCAAATAATCATTAAATTCATTAACTGAATAATCACTTAATAGCTTTGCATCTTTTCATCTGATGTCTGCTTTAAGTTCGACGACTAATTGATGGGAAAATAGTGTTAATGTGTCGAGATTTGATTTTAAAACGCCACTTAAATCTATGAATCATATATACGAGTACATATATGTTTTTATATTTTATTTTGGATCTGCTCACTAATTTCGGCATTGCGTGCGACCAAAAATAAAGATATTACGAACAACAAAAGCACGAAATAAAATTAAATAAAATATCTAAAAATAAAAGCAAATGGTTATTTATTTCCATAAAAGCAAAACAATTAAAACACTTTTTTTCTTTTCTGCTAGCTACGCGTATATTTTTAAACAAATACATTTGTTTATTTTAAAAAGCCAATTGCAAAAAAGAATTTAATTTTAGAGAAATATTGACTGGCAATTGAAATGAACTTCACTTTACGTCTATTTTTGTCTATGGCTTTTTTTCTAAGTACACTATGCAACAAAATTTAAAAAGGCAAAATTTATGAAAAGATATAATTTTTAATTTTTAGATACATTTTAAAGTCAGATTCTATAAATATATATTTTTTGTTGATCAGAGTGTTTAGAAGTATTTATTAAGGTTCTAGACTGTGCGCATAGAAGTGCTGATTATTGGACATTATTTTAGAAGCATGTTTTTCTATAAAGGCCTTGTTTTTCGGTAGATTTCTTTTGGATTCAAAGTTATACAATATCTGATATTTAGAATAAAAAAAAAATAAAAAAAATGCTGTAAAAGGTTGACCTTCCAAAAATGAAGCTTAAATTTTAGTGAAATAGAAATGGTCTTTAATTTCTAATTTGAAACTATATTAATGACAGCTCAATCGTGTTTTTCTATTTGAAAATATTTGAAAATTCATCTCTTTATAATGATTTCAATAAAGGGATAATGGGGATAATTTAAAAAGAGTTCTAACAGGTTTGTTCAATTGAGAAGTTTTGAGATTTGACTTGAACCGAAACTTTGGACTGCTAACATTGTCCAAAATATCGAAATATAGTATTTCCCTGATTTGGCACATACGTATATTAGTTGAAAATCGATATAAAAATCATGCTTCAAGTTTAAATCAATGGTCCTCAAAATCTATTGGCTATTATTGTCAAATTATTTTTTAAATATCACAGATACTTTAGATACAGATACAGATACAGATACACTTTCATCTTTTAGTTTTATTCAAAAACTGTTGCACAATTTGGACCTTACACGTAAATAATTTCTGAGCACAGGTATTGAAACTTTTTTGCCAACTTGTTTCTAAAAACAAATCTACGCTTCACTTTTAAGTAAAAATTAAGTAAAAATTCGATTCTACACTTTTATCGTCACAGATATGGGAACTATCGAACCTTCTGTTTATCTAAAAGCACTCTAATTATTTGTTCACTTTTAAGTAAAAAATATAATTTAAATTTTCGCAAATTGAAATAGTTTTACATGTTTCTATAAGCCAACCCTTTTCGTTTTTGTTTAAAATAATATGTATTTTGGTTTTATCAGTTGAAAAAGCGTTTTGTTGCATAGTGTTGTTGTATTTGCTATTCTAGTATAATTATTTTGTTTTTAATTGTTGTTGTTAAGTGGAATTTTTATTTTATTTTTAGATATTTTACCTAAGTTTTTATTGCAACAGCGCGTGCTAATTTGTTGTTGTTGCCGCCTGCTGTTGTTCTTGCTGTTGTTGCTTGTTTGTTCTTGTACTGTTTGTTGTTGTTGTTGTTGTTGTTGCTCTCTAGGCCTGTGCCGGTGGGAGAGGCGGACAGGTGCGAGCGGTATGGAGAGGCGCGGAGCGGCGCGGCGCGACGCTACGTGACGCGTTGCGGTGCAGTGTCTCGTTGATGGGAGAGGAAGAGCTGCAGCAGGAAGACGAGGAGGAGGAGGAGGAAGAAGCAGCAGAGAAGAGTCTTCTCAGTAGTTTTTGCTCGTCACTCACTCACTCACTCTCTCTCTCGCTCGCTCGCTTGCACGCTCAGTCACTCTTCTTCTTTTTTAAATATCGTTTTTTTTCTGTTCCGCTTATCGGCGTGAAGTTTGTTTGGACACTTCGATTGGATGCTTCACTTGATTTGCGTTTAATTCGATTGTTAATTTGTTTATCGATGTAGTAGTTGTTGTTGTTGATGTTTTTAAACTTACTTTTTGGAACTGCGCTTCGTTGTTTGTTTGGAATACATGGGAATTTTGTCAACAATCAAATGCATGGCATCAACAAATACAGAGGCAAAAACAACACCACCACCACTAAGTGTGTGCGTGTGTGTGTTTCTGTTTGTTTGTTTGTTTGTTTGTTGGTCGCGAACGCGTTCGAGTGTGTGTGTGTGTTTGAGTTTTGTTCAAAGGTTCAGCGACATTTTTTGTTAATTTGTTTTTTGTGTTTTTTTTTTGGAAACTACACTTCACTTTCTTGTTATTGTTGTTTGTGCACTTTTTCTTTCACTTTTTTGTTTTAACAATTTATTTCTTGCTTTTTGTTGTTACTGTTGTTGTTTCTTGATTATTTTCTGCGCTTTCACGTTTGCACAAAGTTATTGTTGTTGTTGTGGCACATTTTCTATGCCTAGTTGCGAATTAGTTGTTGTTGAAATTTATTGTTTTGCACAACTTACTTGTTTGTTTGATTTAATTTTTTTTTGTTTTTTTGGTTGTCTAGCAAAATTGTTAAAAATTTTACACAATTCACAAAAATATTAGCACAGTTTTTTTGGTTGTTAATTATTTGTGCTGCGAGTTGTTGTTGTAATACTGGTTGCTGTTGCTGTAGTTATCCAAGTGGTTGTTGTTGTCGGTGCAACAGGAACTTTTTGCACTTAATCCAAAAAATGTGTGCTTGTCGTTTTGAATTTGAAGAGAAAATGTGCTTGTTTTTGTTTTTGTCACGTCAGAAATTGTCTAATAATTTCTGTCACACTTAATTCAAATATTTGTGTAATTAATTATTATTAGCATAATAATAATTATTTATAAGCTTTTAAGTCACTGCACGAAAATACTACGAAGTTTAGCTTAAAGAAACTTTTTGTTTATGTTTTGTGATAAATGAAATTTTCATAATAATAAAAAAAACTGCTTCAGCTTTTAATTGCAGTTAAAATTTTTTGTTTGTAACTCTCTTACACAAAATTTCTTGCTTGGTTGTTTCTTTCGAATTTCGTTTCGCGGTTTTGTTTTACTTTGTAACTGTGAGTCTGCTGTGTGCTTGTTTTAGTTGTTGCTGCTGCTGCTTCGTGCGCGTATTTAACCGTACGACGACAACATTCGACGGCAGCCAGAAAGGAACTGAAGCTGCTGAAAACGCTAACCGTGGCACGACCCGAAACTGACTGACGGTCTGGCTGCGACAATCTGAGGCACAAGCGAACGTGCGCTGACGACGGCGCTGCTGCGGCGACGCTGACGCACAACAAGCGCAACACACACGCTCACAAATCGAGAGAAAGAGCGAGAGCATAACTTGGCAACATGTTCGATGTGGTTCGATGCGGTACAGTCGTTGGGGTCGACTGCTCGCATTGTTGCTGCTGTTGTTGTTGTTGTTGTTAGCATTTGGTATTCATTTGTGTGTTAAGGGGCGACGACGCGCGAGCACTTAAGTAAAATAATAATTACACGTATGTCAATTTGTTTGACTTCTCTCGGGCATTTATTGCTGCCAAAAAGTAGTAGATCTACTACTATTTTTAAAGAGCGCACTGCTCAAGTGCCTCTGACATTTATTGGTTTGTTTTGTAAGCGTTTGTTTGGTTTTTGTCCGCTAAAAAGTGTAGCAGCAACTACTCCTATTTTGGTCACTACTTTTTTCATTTATTTTATTTTTGGTTTCGGTGCTTGCCATCTGTCATGTGTGTGCCAGTGTGTTTGTGTGAAGAGCGCGTTAAGTAGATTTTTCAGCACATTTGTCTTAATTGTTGTGATTTGTGGTTGATTTGGAATGATTTACGGTTTTCGCTTTTTGCGCTTTGATTTTTATGCAAATTGATTGAAATTTAAATAATAAAAGGGTTGATCATATCTTCCTATAAATATCAAAATATGAAATGATTAAAATTGCATGCAAATTAAAATTGATATGATAATTACAAATAATTTGCATTTTTTTTAAATGTGATATTATTGGCTTTTCGGCAATTTTATCTCAAATTTAGGTAATTAATATGTACTTATGACTAATTTTGTGTTTGTGAGTAATTCTGAAATGATATTTATAGAATCAAATGCACTTTTAATTGCATCTAGAATTATTTCTATAATTTTATTTTTTGTTTCTGAAATTGCGAACGACCCATAAACATTATTTAAGATAAATAGGCAGATTTACACGTCAACATATTATGCCAAACAGTGGCCGCCAAATGCTGTGCTGCACAGCCCACAAAATTGAAATACTTTAATTACCCGAATAAAAAAACATTTAACAATTTAATCTGAGCATATCAATTGCCAACAGCAGTGGCGCACACAAACAAACAAACATACGCGCACACACACACACACACACACAAAAGACAGATAAATATGTACGCTCTCGTATATCATCGCATATATTTCACGCGCTCACACGCTCAGGCGCGCTCAGCTATGCGCCTCGCTCTCCACGGCAAAGTCAGCCGAGTCATGCCAAAATCCACTCCCAATTTATCACTCAATTAGCACAGAAAAATGTAGTAGTGTATTTACTACACTTCTCGCAAACGTAAACGCGCACACACAAGCACACAGCCAGCCACCACTCATACTCACAGCGATAGCAACAGCAACAACAGCTGCTGCACTCGGCCATGTTGTTGTTGCTACCATTTTGCTGCCGCTGTTGCTGCTGCTGCCGCTGCTGCGGCCTGCACAGCGTGAGAATTTCACTGCGTATTAAATGCATACCGAATCCATGGTAAAAGAAGCGGAAGGTATCGCATTGAGGTCGGCAACATTTCTACTCTCAGAGCTCTCCATGAATGACCAGCAGGGCTGCCACAGAAACTAAATGGCTGCTTAATTTGCTACAATATCTTCCTCGTAATTCCATGCTCAGAAATTGCCATAAATAATAAATTAAATAAATAATTAAGAAATTACACGTGGCAGCACCTAAGAGTCGCAAAACAAACATCAACGCTGACGTCACACGAAGAGAGCACCGACCATGTGCCTTCTGGCTGCTTTTTACCATTATGCTCAAATGCTTTGGCTCGGCTTCGTTCGGCTTGCTTCGTCTCGTCTCGTTTGGCTGTGGCGACATCGGGTGGCATATCGGGTGTTCATCTCAATGAAATTGTAGCATATTTGTTGCCATATCGAGATTAAATTTTCAAAACACAAACGAGCACAGCAGCAGCGACGTCGACAGCGTCGCCCAGTTGGAGGAGGTAAAAGCGTCTGTGGGTTACATGTAAGAGAGCGCTCCAACATGCAGTGGGGAGAGAGTGCAAGTGAGAGAAAGAGTAAGAGCGCGTGTGTGTGTGTGTGTCGCTTTTGTACGGTAGGTGGGTGGCTGGGTGGTTTGCTTGCCTAGCTGCCTGCTTGGTTGCTCGTGCGATTTATTGATGACGTGCTCAGGCGACGCCGACGTCGCTCGCTGCCACTGGCGTTGTTACTATTGTTGCTGTTGTTGTTGTTGTTGGCAGGCAGTGTTAATGTGTTTGTTGCTTGGCATAAAATTATGTTTTATTTTATTTAACATCTATTTTGTGTGTGTGTGTGTGTTTGTATGTTTTGCTGTCGACGTCAACGCTGACGCTGCGCATATTTTGTAACGTTTTATTACGACGATATTTGGCAGTCGTCGCTGCTGGCGCTCGACTTCATTATTTTCATAATTTCGCAGGATAAGGACACCAACAACAACAACAACCAGCTGGCTGCGAATGCCGGCAGAGGAAGAAGCTGCCCGAGCAGAGGAAGTCTTTGGAGTGGCAACACAGCATAAACACGAGAATTACACACGGGCAGAGGCAGAAGCCGAGTTTCAGACTCTCAGGTCGTAGAGATGGGCACCGTACCGAACATTTTTACATTTTAAAATGAACATTTAATTTGTGTTCAAAAAGGTAAAAATGTGGACAGAACTGTACCAATTTTAAAGGCGATTAAAGTAATTAAGAAGGATCTTTTTAAGGGGAGTGTTTTTATAAAGTAAACGACTTGTTTTAAAATAAGAACAGTTTCTATAGCATTACTGAGAATCCGTGATAATTTAAGGAAGCGAAATATGCTTAGAAACTTTCTTGGTCACATTACACTTAATGTGTGTCTAGCCTTTCCTGCCCAATCACGTTGCCAATCACGACCCACTCCCAGCACCAGCAGGCTATAAAGCTGATAGTCGACAGTTGTCGAGCAGCGGGCGGCAGTTGCAGCAGAAACATCAGCAGCTTCATCATTGGGTTATGCTTATGGGTTTTCTGAGGGCACGCTGTAAACGTCTGTGTGTGCATGTGTGAATGCGTGCGGTTGTTGGGTATGTTTCGGTGGCTGACACGACACCACTCCACTCCACACCACACCACCACCGAGCAAAAAGGAAGTGTTCAGTGTTCGGCGTTGTAGGCCGTTGTCATCGTCATCATCGCCATCGCCATCTTCATCATCGTTGTTGCTACTGCGGCGAATGTTGCTGCCGGTGTCGGTTTATTTACGTACATACATACATACATGCATATGTATGTGTGTGTGTGTATATGAGGGAGTTTGCGTGTGTGTGTGTGTGTATGAATGCGTTGGTTGTTCCTGTTGTATCGCCCTGCGTTCGAATCTGGCATTGTATGTGTCATGCTTACTTACGAGTATCTGCGTTTGCCTTCCTGTACCCGTCGCTGTGACGAGTGCGGATCATACAGGGTGTCTGCAGGACAATAGTGGGTGCTGTTTGCGGCGACCTGTTTGCTCAAACAGTTGAACAGTTGACAGAGGAATCGCTGTACATATCATTTTAGTTTACAGAGAGAGAATTATGCTATTGTTATTTTATTGTTACATATTAAATCTAAACTGTCCATTTAACAATTGAATCTGAAAAACCATTGTCTGGCTGTAGGATTGGTTTTTACATAAACATTTATTGATTAAATGCTTAACTCATTTTAAATCGATTTTTTTAAATATACAGAAAAATTATTATTTGTCTACTTCTAAAATGTATGTATGTACATAAATCAAGAATATGTATTACATTAAATACATCCTTTTAATATCCGCCCCCAAAATGCTTTTCCAATTATTAATTTCGATTCATAGACTGATTAACTACTTTAAAATCAAAGCTGGGTTACTTATTTGAAATAAAATATTACATCCCTACGACTGATCATGTTTACAAGTAGTTAGTTTAAAATGATTGTATTTAGCATTTTTTAATCATTGTTATCGGTAAGGGGTACACCCTGT